AAAAGAAAGGGTACCCATTATCTTGAATACCGAATGACAGGCCTTGACACCCTCTGATTCGACAATGGCTGAACTACTCCACCTGAATTTTCTAAAAGACTACTTTAATTGATTACGAAAGGGGTTTCATTTTAATTAGTCGAAGGGTTTTTATTTGAACAATAATCACAAAAAGTAAACAGATAATATACATATTAATGTTATCCTTATTCCTTGTCCGTTCCAATATTTTATCTTATCTCTATCAAACCCTGTCTGGTCTATGTTATCTTGTCATAAGCACAAGCATATGACTTTTTTTAATCTTTAACTTCTTGCATCTCCAAATGATCTCACGCTAGTAATGATGAACATCACAGGTTACACTGGTGAAGATGGTAAATGAAGCCTCTGCTAATATTCCAAACTGGGGTTCATAAAGGTGTATTACGTCAAAGCTGCACTCTGCTATCAGAAGGGACGAAGGGCTATAGTCTTATACAGGTGTGTGCTTCAAGAGTGCAGTCTCGGAAACAAAACTCATTCTCGACACCATCTGAGGGGACTAGAAAACCTTACAGCATCCAATACTAAGTAGATCTTCAATCTTGTCCCTGTTGTAGTATTATACGATGCAGATGCACAGAACTTTCATTAGTTGCCATATTGTGTATCCGCCTGCTCAAACATTCTCAAATAAACATAATAATGAATCAAATATTGTATTGGCATACCTTTGGATATCCTTATAACCACTGTTCTAAAAATCGGCCTAAGCGGATCGATTAATCGGCCTAGGCGGCCCCAACTGTAGAGGCCTTGTTGGTCTAGTCGGTCAAAAAATCGGCCTAGTTGGCCACAAAATTAGCCTAGTCGGTCGCCTAGGCGCTAGGCGTCCCTCAACCGCCCGACTAGCGTCTAGCGAGTTTTAGAACAATGCCTCTGTGTAGTGTGAGTCTATGTTAGGTTTAGTGTTTTGTTCACTTTGTTGCAGTTAAGCGATGACTATCAATCACAAACCACCTATGGTCATACGGTCATACCTCATGCCGGCATGGAAATGAAATGAAATGAATGACATTTATGCAATTAACACTAGAACGTGATGAGAATGGTGAATCGTGAACAGAGGCGTACCCAGGAAATTCATCTTGGGAGGACGGTAATTTAAACAAAATACTTTTTGCCCCTTTTTGGGAGGATGAAAATTGTTTTTTTGTATATATATACATTAAAAAAAATTGTTGGGGGCGGTAGCCCCCGAGTCTCTACTACGGTCCGCCCTTGATCGTGAAAGCTATATAGTAGAGAGGGAGTGCAATGTGGTGATGATAAGCTGCATGAACCAATGAAAATGGCTTGAAAAGATAGGCTTGAAGAACTCAACTACGAAGAAGTATGAAGATACTGAGGCCTTAAACGACGCAGAAAATGATTACACCAATAGTTCTGAAATTAGTTTTACCTAGGAAGAAGTGACTGTTAACTTGTTAAGATAAGGAATAAAAGGAAGGGGAATGTGTTATAAAGAGTGGACCGATTTGGAAGTTTTTAGGCACAACATTACAATATATCTTTTGGATTGAAATTAAAAAAAAAGTTTTACCATGGATAATGATGTGTTCCAGATGTATGAAAAAAACTCAAAATTTAATTATAGTTGAGTTACTTGAATATAAGGAACAATATATCATGTTAAATTGATAAGTTGCTAACATTTTTGGACCAAGCCTTGAAAACGTCAACATTAAGCATTTAAGCGTTAATGAGACATTTCAAATATATAGACATTTCAATTTTCAAAACGTGTGTTTTGGCAAGTTATAGGCTGTTAAAGATGAGAATAATGATATCATCCGATAGCATGGGCTATGGTTGAGAACTTGACAACGAAAATATGAATTCTTCTAGGCATAACCAGAAACAAATACTACGTATAAAAGAAAAGGTTAATGAATCAATTTAGAGAAGTATACTTTTTTAATATAGCTAAAAGAATATCTTAGAAAAGAGATGAGATAGGTGGAGTAATTGATTGTTCCTTCTTATGATTGAATTATCGTGTAAAAGTTTTAAGATTAAAAACAATATTCAGTGAGGAAATGCCGTTTTTATTATTTTGCTAATTCAGAGAGGCATAACCACTACTAATTTAAGATAGTGGTGTTGGTAATATTTGTGTGGCTGAAATGGATTCTTAATTTATTTTCACCTTATTAACTTATTATCAACCATATAATTCCACTTTTTTAGTGAGTGGGATAGAAAGGAAAAATGAGGCAATTATAATAGGTCAAAGAGAGTATAAGATGATTTCATATTTACTTATTACTCTAATTATTTGCTTCATTGTTGAGGAAATGCCGTTTTTATTATTTTGCTAATTCAGAGAGGCATAACCACTACTAATTTAAGATAGTGGTGTTGGTAATATTTGTGTGGCTGAAATGGATTCTTAATTTATTTTCACCTTATTAACTTATTATCAACCATATAATTCCACTTTTTTAGTGAGTGGGATAGAAAGGAAAAATGAGGCAATTATAATAGGTCAAAGAGAGTATAAGATGATTTCATATTTACTTATTACTCTAATTATTTGCTTCAATGTTGGGAAAGGTATTGGTGCGTTCCTTATCTGGCACTAATTTATTGGTTGTGTTCTCCATGTCATACATTTCCTTGAGTATTTCTAAGTTGGTCCTTGTACATAAGTCAATTTTATGGGACGAGATTCATTATCATTTAAATGGAAGAGTATTTTTCACTTAAACCATCTAGCTAGAAATATATATTTATATTCCGGACCCCTATTCTCTCATTGGACTATGCTGCTTTTAGAAGGTCGGCACAAATGAGAGTGTGGTGATTGTAGAGCTGCTGATACTTGAGGACGGAATTGGCTTGGAAGAGTTCGCAATAGCTTAGTTTCTTGCTTCTTTGATTGATTTTTATGTGACTTTTACTTGAGTCTCTCTTTAGATATATAGATATGATGTAAATCACTTTTCAACATTGAATATATGATGATTGTGATTTCAATATTTCAATCGTTTTGGGAGTTATTGGCCATATTGTGAAGCACTGAAGCTTTCCAAAATGTGTAACCTTGGATACTTTTCATTGTGCAATTTTCATCCATTTAAGAAGCTTGGAGCTTGGAGGTGAGATTCACTAGATAAATTAGAAGCTTCCTAAGCTTTTTCCAGTGGTTCACTTTTATTTTTCGCTTAACTAAGCTAGCAGGCAATTCAATCTCTTAATGTCCATAACATGTAGCCAAGTGGGTGTGTAGGTGGAAATGAAAAGGAGGGTAAATCATTATGGCTCGACCTATCTACAGATAATTATAATAAACAAAGAAACATATAAATATGGTAGATGAAAGCATGGTTAGTCAAAAGCACCGAGCAGGTAAACCGGCAAAACAATGCGATGACTTAAGTTGCGAAGTCTTATTCTTCTCCCTGTCGTTGTTTATGTCTTGGATTGGAACAAATTACTAGAGAAACGTACATGAACAAAGCTGATAGAATGTTATCGATTTTCATGTTCTGAAATCCCTCCATTTTACATGCTCATAGAGATTTGTCATTATTTTTAAGAGTATACAATGTAGTTAGCCTAGATCATAGCAGAAGGTCTAACAATTGTTAGTAGTTAGCCCATTAACAAAATAAAATGATTGAAACTATCAAAGAGACATACTTGCTGGAGCCAATGACCTCATGCTACCTCCAAATAGCTGTACTCGTAAGAAATCCATTGTTGTTCTTTTTGAGCTCTCAAACAAAAACATCCAAACTCCAAAGAGACCTTAAAGTGTACTTCGAAAATCAATATGACATCTAGAGCCAGTAATGATATATATAAACACGTCCAAGCTAAAGTGAACTCCGTTACGTACTTAACAACATCCATCAAGTTCAAATTAAATCTTTTCCATATCGCAGACAGTGTGCGTTCACTTAGGCCTTGTGCTATATTACTTAGGTTAAGAAGTTTCTGGCTGGATTAAAACATATTCATACCACAAATAGAGTTCATTAAGAATATTCTTATCATCAACAATGTAATATCATCTACTTCTACAAACAATGACTTGTTTAACAGCACACATTTTTACTGGAAAAGATCTTATCTCAAGGGGTTTTCACTATGATCAAAAAAATTCTTTGGGGGATAGAGTTCTTGGGCTTATTTAAGAAGCACTGGAATGGAGCTTTTTGAAAAGAAAAAGGAACTTCTTTAGTGCTCAAATGAGAAAACACTTCTTATGAAACGACTTGTAGTCACACACAACTCACAAGTCATCCCAGAAAAGCTCCAAGGCACCATTAGAAAGCAATAGGCGAGGATACTGAGAGCTTGAGAAGCAAGCAGGTCTGTAAAAATGTAATCCTTATCAAAAAGTGAAATGACTTAAGCTGCAAAAATTTGCATATCCTTGGTCACACATGAAACTTTATATTAATGAAAGAATTTTATATGGACTGAATGTTGAAGAAATGATGAAATTTTAAGGAGATAAAGAGAAGCTTGTTGAGCGAAGTTGGGATTTTGGTTGGGCAACTGACAAGCTAAAGCCCACGGATGAGGTTTGCAGACGTGAAGGAGGATGAGAACGAGAGAGAAAACTGATTTAGAACAGATTCACAAATACCAGAACCAGTATGCATCACTTGCAATTTACGAATTTTATAAACGAATAATTGACATGGAATAGGTATCAAATCAGATTTAGGCACATGGTGAATGCACCCAAACATTCTGTAACGGGAGAGTGACCCAAAATCATTTGACTCTAGTCTGGATATTCTTGTCCTAAATCCTTGTACTCCGAGTCTCCGACACTGATCTTGTATAATTTAAAAATGAAAACTAATAACAAATTGAAAGAAAACGTCTATCAGAGCAAGTCCACGATCATTACAAACATTCAATAGGTGAAGGCCGTGAAGTTAATAATCTAATCCACAAATATATTTGCGAGCCCGTTTAGAATTATACTCAACTGAATATATTCCCAAATGATCAAGCCAGAGAGTATTCGATCAGAAGGAACAAGAGAGATCAGGAGGAACAAGAGACCGGGAAAGCATCTGAGTTCTATTAAATGCATCAATAGCGTATTTTTCAAAGCCAATACAAAACTCCCAAGAAAAAAATGAGGAAACATAAGGCAAGGTTAGGAAAATATAAATCTTCCAAAGTTTGCTGAAACTTAACAGGAAGCAAAAATCATGAGTCCCAAAATTTAAATTTAAATGCATTTTTATAATTTAGAGTACAAAATGTAGGATAAAGACCAATCGAATAAGAACTCAACAGGAAGCAACATAGTCTAATATCATTCCTTGATTTTTTTTTGTCTAATATCATTCCTTGAAAACTTTAAAAAGTTAACAGGAAACTACACTTCACAGTCCAGTGAATGCTTTCTTTCCACCACTAGCAGAACCAGCAGGAATCACCTTCAAAACATTGAACCTAACGGTCTTGGATAATGGTCTGTCACATGAACAACAGTTGGCATGTTTGACGAAGTAAAATAGATTATTAGTTTGAGGAAATTGAATAAATAACAAGGTTTTAATAGCCACCTGCATTGACCAATGGTAACATAGTCACCCTCTTTCACACGGAAGCATGGTGACACGTGAGCAGCAATGTTTGAGTGTCTTTTTTCATACCTGAAAATAAAAGAGAAATTAGATTTGACAAATTGTTTCACAAATAAAAAAACAACAGATGCTGACATTATCTTGCCTCTGATACTTCTTCACAAAGTGGAGGTAGTCACGACGAACAATGATTGTTCTGTTCATCTTAGCACTATGGCAAGTACCGGCAAGGATACGACCTCTAATAGAAACATTTCCCGTGAAGGGGCATTTCTTGTCAATGTATGTACCTTACATCATGAAGCATAACTTAATTAGAAGCAAACCAGTAAACACTTAATAATGGGCACTGGCTTAACTACAATGCATGTCCTCACACATAATAATGGGTGGGATTGATTGAAGCATATAATTAGAGGATAAACAGAGTTGTAACTAGGTCAAACGATGTTTACGATTGGCAGAGAGAACAAGGGTGATTGAGACTGATTAAAAACAATGCAATGGAGATATCTCATTGAGCATAGATAGGATACGCAATTTAGAGAACGTCAACATAGCAATCATTTGAATAGAATGCTCTAGACATTACCTAACTGGATTCTTGTATGTATCTAAAATCTTATAAATACCAATGAAGGTTAGGGTATTTTAGGAATGAAAAATATGTTGGTGTAATAATCAAGCTTAATTGAGTTGTACAATGCTCTTTCTCACCTGTACTTTATTAAATACGGACTTGACTTACCGTTTTGTTTCCATCAGCGGCTCCAATCTATTTGTCCCCGCCTTTTATCGGCGTCTTCAACACACCCTCAGTTTTCTTCGACTCTCATCTCTCTGAACCACGCCAGAACCCTCACCCAACCGCTAATGGTACGTGGTCTTTTCGTTTTCTATGTGTAATGAACTTTGTTCATCTCTTTGTATTATTAATGGCTTAATGCGCCATGTTATTGTACTCACTGAGAATACACCAGTATAATTCTTTTCGTAATTACTGGAAAGGAGTATAAATTCTTTTGGTAATTGCTTACCTCAAACTCTCTTGGTAATTTACACGAAAGGGATCATTGGTTTACGGTCAATTACTCTGAGTCTGCTCCTACTTAACAGATTGAGGATGGTCTTTGTGCTTTTGTGGATAAAGTGGATATATCGCACTCAAATACAAAAACAGAATATGTAGTACGTAGTATGTAATTAAGCTTTATCAGATGAATCAGTTAATCTAAAGCAATTGAAATAAAAAAACACACCTTTGTTTAAAATTTGTGACTAACAAATGATAGTTATATTCTTCAATACTCTTTCTTAATAGGTAAATGAGTTTTAAACTTTGTTAGGAAAAACCTTAATATTTTCCTCAAAAAATTAGTCTCGGGCTTAGATATCATAATTCCAGTATAATTTCAACACAAAAATTACCAATTAACTGATCTTTTCATAGATCAACAAAATCGATCAATTCAGCCGTTTTAGCCAGAGTTTCATAAATTTCAGCATAATCAGCCGATTTTTGGTATAACAAAACGGGCACTATGATGCATAAAATACCTTGGGCATTATTTGCATCGCGCGTTATATAAAGTAGTATTTATGACAATAAAGACAAACTGAAATATATGAAGAATTCCATCCGACCTGCAACTTCAAATACACTCAGAGGAATGGATCTAACTAATTGAGGCATCCGTTGTACTTCATTATTTTCTCAATTGTGAATTCTTTCATTCCACGTGTTTCTTCGCATTGCAAAAAGACCACTAAAGACTCATTTTTTTAAAACATGTTATCATTAAAACATATTATCAAATGCAGGCAGTCACAGAAACAGTTTCTTCGCTCATACACAATCCAGGCAGAAACAGAGAGGCATCTTAGTTAAAGCCTAGTTATATTAAATGCATGAAATTCATTGCACCTTTTCACAGACATTACATTAGGAATAAAGATTGCAAGAACAGATAGGAACCTTCAATAGCCTCGCGAGGAGTTTTAAAGCCCAAGCCGATGCTCTTCCAGTAACGGTTGCCTCCCTTTCCGGGCCTCTTGCCCTTACCTGTTTTCTTTGAGCTGCAGATGTTAATAAAAACTGAGTGTTAAACAGGAACCTTTCATTGGCAGTCAAACAAATGCACCAATTCAAGTACATAACGCTTAAAATTCGTATCACTGTAATCCAAAAAATGCTTTTGAATATACGAATTTACCGTACCTGAGAAAAACCCCTGGCTGCTTCAAGAAAGCCTTCTCAGTCTGCCAAACAAACCAAATCCATTAGATGATATAAAACAGGAACTGAGACTGGAAAACTTATTATTTATATCTGAGCTTGGGTGAAAGGGAAGAGAACCTGCTCAGCCATCCTTGCAGATGAAAATGTGGAGGCAGAAGATACGAAAGAGGAAGCAGTGATTCAGCAGCCAAAAACCCTAAACGCAGCAGGGGTGATAGCAAAGGCTTTATAGCGCTAGCCACTTTTTTACTTAACACAGCAGGGGTGAACGTGAGTCTGGGTCGGGCCGGAATAGCAATTCCGAAATTACTAGTAATCCACCCAAAAATAAATACATTCATGGATATCTACATAAACAATAAATGCATTTGTAGAAGTTAGAATGTTTTTATTTGGTTCCACAAAAAAAATGTTTTTATTTAGATTGAAATTTTCGGTCTGGTATGATTTAGTCTGATTTGGTCTGATCTGGACTAAACTGGTCTAGTCTTGTTTGGTTTGGGACTGCAAACAATTCAAGTAAAAACATCTTTAATAAGCACACACGATTTCTCTTCATTTTCTTTGTTATCAAACGAAATGTTAACTTTACGTAGTTTTTCATTTCTCACGCTGAATTGTAGTTTTTCATTTCTCACGAGTTTTACGTAGTTAGCACACACGACTATGTTTTTCAGTTCATCAGCCCTATTAGTTAACTTTTTATCATGCACGTAGTTTTTCATTTCTCACGCTGAATTGTGTAATAATCAAAATAAATAAGGTTAGAATTACTTTTCTGACTGAATTAGTTGATGATGCTATTGGGGACTATTTTAGCTATGTTCATATAATTTTTCTTTATTTTATTAATAAATTATATTTTAAATACTACATCCGCTCCATAAAACTTGGTCAACTTTTCTTTTTTTTATCGTCCCAAAAAAACTTTATCATTTCCATTTAAAGTAACATATATATGGCTAAAGTTATTTCTCTTTCCTCTCCAAAAATTTGAACCACGCAATTTTTACTTTATTATTCTACGTGCAGGTCAATTTTGGTCATGTTTTATGCGACAGAGGGGGTATATTTTTTCATAAATCAACAGAATCAGTCAATCCAACAATTTGAACTAGGATTTAATAATTTTCAGCACAGTCAGCTGAATCAATCAATTTAAGTGTTACCAAACGAGATCTAAGTAAAATATTTGAAAATTTGATAAAATATTTCATTTTCGGAAATGATGCAATCATACATAATCAATAATTAGGTCCAATCATCTGAATTATTTTTTATTATTTTGCAAAGATGAAGTTCAACTTATTATTAATCAAAGAGATAATTCTCCAAATAGGACCAAATAATGTTAAAAGTTCAACAATAGGACTCTAATGTTAGGTTATCTTCCGTAGGACTAAAAAGAGTTAGATAGACAAAACTACCCTTAATGAAATAAATCACTATTTATTAACAATGCAATTAAAATAATAGAAATAAAAATGACAGAAGGCTTAGACTCTACAATACATCCTCTGCTATAGGAACACAGCCATCTCCATCGCCACTCATGCCGCCTCCGTTGGAGCCGTCGCCGCCTCCTCCGGCTCCACTGACGTCATCTCTGCCTCTGCTGGAGTCACCGCTGGACGCCTCCACCGGCGTCGCCGCCCCCTCCACCGGTGTCACTGATGACCGCCTCCACTGACGTCGCCGCCAGCCGCTTCACCATCATCCGCCACCAGATCTGAGATCTGATTTGTGATTTGTTAATATTGTCATACAAATGACATCTTGCAATTGTATTGTCATCTTAATGATATTATTGACATCCTGAAAGAAATAAGATGACATTTTCAGTTTGAAAAATGGCATTAATGTCTTTTATATAAGAGTATTATTGACATCTTTGTATCTTTAGGTCCATAAAAAAAGCATTCATTTTCAAAGTGACATTTTCACATTTAGAGGACTAATATTAAAAAGGTAAGTGCCATCTTGCAGTTGAAGTGTTATCATATTGTCTTTATTGCCATCTTGACAAAAATAAATGGCATATTCAGATTGAAAAAAAATGACATTAATGCCATAAAAATGTCATTAATGTCATAAAAATGACATTCATTCTTAAAGTGATTTTTTCATATTCAAAGGAATAATATTTTAAAGGTACTAATATTATTCTGAAATTAAGTTCCAATAGATGGTATTTTTGGGAAAATAATAATAATGATGTTATTTTCGTTTTCAAAAATAAAAGAAAACATAAATATCAAACATAAATTTTCATTTTCAAAAATAAATTCGAAAAATAAAAAATCAGAGGAGAAGAAGAAGGAGAAGGAGAAGGAGAAGGAGAAGGAGAAGGAGAAGGAGAAGGAGAAGGAGAAGGAGAAGGAGAAGGAGAAGGAGAAGGAGAAGGAGAAGGAGAAGGAGAAGGAGAAGGAGAAGGAGAAGGAGAAGGAGAAGGAGAAGGAGAAGGAGAAGGAGAAGGAGAAGGAGAAGGAGAAGGAGAAGGAGAAGGAGAAGGAGAAGGAGAAGGAGAAGGAGAAGGAGAAGGAGAAGGAGAAGGAGAAGGAGAAGGAGAAGGAGAAGGAGAAGGAGAAGGAGAAGGAGAAGGAGAAGAAGAAGAAGAAGAAGAAGAAGAAGAAGAAGGTTGAGAAAAATAAGAAGAAGAAAGAGGAGAAGAAGAAGAAGAGGAGGAGGAGGAGGAAGGAGAAGAAGAGGAGGAGGAATTCGAATCTTACCTATGAGTTTGCCGCTGCTCGCCGCCGTCGCCCGCCGGAGCTCCAGAAAAAAACCACCGTTGATACTTTTAAAATCGGTCGGAGATGGAGGAATTTAATTGTATTGAAAATCGAAAGATATGTGAGAGCTGGAAGATGAAGTTAGGTTGGAGCCAGATCTATTGCTTGAAAGAGCTTGTTCCCAGATCTAATTTAGTGCGTGAAGAGAAAAGAGAGGGGGAGAGAAGAAAGGAGAGAGGAGAGAGAAGTTAAGGGAAAATTTTTAGGTGTGTGGGTATGAGTTGTGCGTGAGAAAAAAGGGTAGAGTGGGAATAAAATAGAAAACAGTCCTATTTTGGGAATAAAAAAACTTGTAGTCCTACTCTTGCATTAATCATCTATTTTAGTCCTATTTAGATCAATAACTTTTAATCAAACCGTGTATGAGAGTACTCAAAATGAAGAAAACAAAATCCAAACATGACTTTCAAACAAAGAAATGCCTACTCATGGAATGATCGGATAAAAAATGTTATTAACATCCCTTCTAATAGGGGAAAGTTTCTTATAGGCTAATCCGCTAAAAAGCTTTTGTTGTTTAATTCTTCTAAAACCCCATGGCTTAGTTTATCAAGCTACTTAAGGTTTAATAATAAGTTATATCTCCGTTTAGAGTTTTGACCCTTTCGGTAATAGGGGAGGAAGAGGAGATGAAAATCTCAATTAGAGTCATGATGATAGTTCTGCATACGTGGTGCATGCTTCCAGTTGTACTGGTGCTTTTCTTCCATCTGCATGCATAAGTAGAGCCCTGCAATCTTAATCAAACATTCAAAATATCAAATAAATTTTATCGGGTTAGAGACCTTTGATATATCCGTCGATTCATAAGCATCAAAGTATTTAGTGATAAAGTTGTATAAAGTATATTACGTTCAATGTCATTGTTAAACGGGGGAAACACATTATTAGACAACTAAACTCTTACAATATATTCTATTGAGCCCTAACCTTCTACTTTGTTTTATTGAGCGTGTGCGTGTACTTCCCAAATATATCAATTGAACCCACATAAAACCCAAATTGTTGAATGATGCACACATATTCTCTAGTGAGTACTTTCTATTTCTGTTATGTTTATCATCAAGTTCAGATCATTTGTCATAAACAGGTTAATTATTCATTGTTGTTGAGCAAAAGTAATTGGTTGCCATTGTCAAACTCCTAAAAATAGATTTTTAGTTTTTTGTTCACAAAAAGTGTTAAATGTGATAGATCGGTTACAAAAGTGAGCTCAATGTGATTTACTAAAAAAGTATTGTTGCTCAATTACTCCAAATAAAGTATTTGTGGCTCTATATAAATAGTTGGTAAAAGTTTGGAGGTTAATTGATATGTGATATACATGTTTACCTTTCCCCCATATTTTCTTCAATTTGATAAGCTATCTCAATAGCAAATTTGAAAATCTCAAATTGAAACCTCCACACATATAGGTTGTATGTCATAGTGCCACCATCATTGTTTATTTAGTAGCTTATGTCCTCATTATAGATATTTAAAATTGTTGGGCCGAATGTGATTGTTATTGGACTCCTTTTGAATGTTGTCGAGCCAATGTCAAATGCTATTAGACTATTCTCAACCTTATTGGACTCCTTTTGAGTGTTGTCGAGCCAATGTCAAATTGGACTACTCATGATGATCATTGGGCCTTATCAAGAGGAAGATAGTAATGTGGGTCCCTTAAGATGAAATTTAATGATTAAATCAATTTGAATCATTTAAAGATATCAAATTAATTTAATTTTAAAGCAATGGACCAGCTCCATTAAACTTCATTTTCAAACTCAATATTAAAAATATTAAATAGTGGCCTAAAATATAAAAGACTTGATCAAAATTATGAAGAGGGCAACAATTCTAGTTAAGAATTCTGTTCAAATGCATGGAAAATATCAAATGAACCTTGTTTAGAAAGTTATTTAGATATATTATACAATTGTGGGTTTTTGTAGCTATTAAAATGTAAGTAAGTGGATCCCAAAACCCATTTAAATCAGGGCCCTGGAGATATGGACGGAATCTTGAAACCTAAAACATATACCATTTCTTCCACGCCTACAAACAGGGGCCTCAGTTGAGAGAAATGAAGTTGAATTGGAAAGAATTTCCAAACAAAGAAACATAGCAAAGAAGCTCTGAATAACAGGTCTTCTACGCACATGCCCAAACCACTGCAAACGAAACTCCTGCATCTTATCTTCTATAGGTGCTACTCCCACCTTTTTCTGATTATCTCATTCCTCATGCGGTCTTTTCTGGTATGTACACACATCTAACGCAACATGCGTATCTCTGTCACACTCATATTTTGAATATTACTTTGTTTCACAGTCCTACACTCTATGCCATACATTAATGCAGGCCTAATTGATGTTCGATAAAATTTTCCTTTCGGTCTAGTCGGCATACCTCGATCGCATTGGAATCCAGTTGCACTCTTCTATTTCATCCACCCAGCTCTAATTCTATGGGATACATCTCCATCTAATTCTTGCAAAGGCTAGTTAGGAGAGTCTCTCATGTTGCCCTCGTGTTAGAGGTGGCCCTGACATTCAACTTGGAAAATGAATCTGAATATTGATGTCCCTAC